AACTGATGCTCAACACCTAAGCAGGTTAGCTGCATCAACAAAATCACATCGACTGACTCATCAGTTGTTTGGGAAACAGCGTCACCGTTAGTAGAAGATGCTGCAGAGCCCAAATAATCTGAGAAGTTTTTAAATCTGTTTAGTTTCAAAGCCATTTCATTTCTGTCCTTTAGGCGTTCAGTGATTTAATTCTCAAACAGACACTGACGAAGCCTCGTGCTTGTTACCGTCACAGATTTGCCTGTTTTAATGTCGGTTTTAATAAAATACTTGCTCCTGAACACCACCAGGGCTGCAGCTGAAAGAAGAAACGTCTCACACGCGAGGAGATTGAACGTGAGCTTCATGTGTAACTTAGTTATAACCAGGACCTCTTGATGCATGATGATAATTAAACTGAATCTTGAATGAGGAACCTACATCTCAGCAATTTAAACCCAACTGCAGCATTAATCAGATCGCGTCTTATATGAGGCGGAGATATTGATACGCCAATTAACTCGTGTTCAGTGTTGCTCATTTTTTCCCTTCATGGTTTTTTTTTCTGCAGCAGCACAAACGGACTTTTGTGTCACTTTCAGTCTGTGTTAGTTTTAAATTATAGTTTGTTCTTCTTGGGAGAAATATGCAAAACAGACGACAAAAAACGACCGGACACGTTGAACCTCTGGATTGTGTGAACTCATGCAGCGAGCGCTTAAATATAACAGACTTTAAATCACATGTGAGGAGACACACATCTAATTTACCTCATGTCAGACGATTCCTTTAAACCAAACACTGCTGTGAACAAACAAACGCCGCTGACATTTGTTGATGGTGTTTACGAGCGTAACTCGTGTCAACACGTTGAGCGATTCCTCGTGTGTTGATGAGAAAATGTGCAAAAGCGTTTTTGCATTTCTCGCATTGTCTGGCGCCCTTTAGAGAGAAATCTGAAGGCTGCTGCGAACACTCGTTTATGTTCTCTCACTCAGAACTATGCTGTATTCTAACTTGGATGCGGTTTGCTGTATAAGAACACTGAAGGCCTACTTACTCCCACTCCTTGCGTCGTGCCTGCGGTGTGCTCTGTATCTTGTGAGCCTGGTGAGCTTTCACGATGTCCCTCTGCTCGATCAGGCCGCCCCGCCGCCTCTTCATCACGTTCGGACTCACCGCCAAGTCCCCGTCCGCCCCCAGCATCCCCACGTCGAACGTCGAGGCCACGTCCAGCGAGAGGCCGAGGCGGCTGGGGTGCAGGGGGGGCGCGTGGCCGTGGGGGAGGTAGAGGGTGTCGAAGCTGGTGGACAGGCTGTGGGGCTCCAGCAGGGATCCGGGCTCAGAGTACGGGCTGGACCCCCCGGCCAGTCCGGCCCGGTGCTTCTGCCAGCTCTCGCAGTCGGACGGGGACGGGTGGAGGACGCGACGGCGGGGGCTGCTGCTGCCACACACCGACCCCACGCCAAGACCCGGACCTCCCGCCGGACTCTCCGGCGCTCCCGGAGCTCTCGGTGGCCCCAAAGCATTGTGGTCCCCTGTCAGAGACTGAGAACTGACCGAACAGGAGCCCAGTTCCAGCATGATGAGAAGGCTGCCCGGGATCTCAGCATAGTGCTGCAGGGAGGAGATGAAAGACAGAGAAGGAAACAGTGAGAGACATCACATGAATCCTTAAAACCACTCAAAACAAAACAGATCATTTCTCTGAATGTCTGGTATTCACTGTAATAACAGAGGCTCCACAGATGTAAAGAAACATGAATAAATCCACATTTTTGCAGGATGTCAGACTGTACGTTGATGTACTTTGACAGAAGACACTAAACTGGTGAGCTTCAGTTTGGAAATCTCATCCCTTTATATGCAGTAGTGTGTTTCTCCACAGTTAAAGCCTGCAGCTCTATTTCCATAAACACTTCCACAACTTTTATTTAGGCTCAGTTTTTCATGCATTGTTTGAAGAAAGGGGTTCTAACAGAAATCTTGATTTATTATTTGATCATTTTAGACTCATGGTTAAAATATTATGTGACAAATGCACTGTAACAAGTAGAGTAGGGTTTTATCTGCAGGCCGTTTATCTTCCTTCTTTGGTGATGGCAGTTTAGTTTCATGGATTCATTCAACTTAAAATCACATTTTGTCCCTTTAAACTGGTTTTCTAGTTTCAACAAAAGTATGGATTAGGTTCACTGCTCCTTTAGCGTCATGCTAAACCTTTTCTGCATCAACTCAGCTGCTGTTTTCTTCAAGTACGACACACTAATAACAAAATCCTCTTCTACTTTTCATGTTTGGACAAAGAAAATACTCAAGTTGGAAGAAATACAAAACTTAACGATAATTTTTCCAAAACTTAAGTTGCAGAAATGCTCATTTGAGAGCAACAAAGTGACTTAAGTGAATATAAAATGTGAAAGGTTTATGCCTTACTATGTTAAGCGCTATGTGATGACATATGCTGTAAACTGCGCTTTACAAATAAAGTTGAGTTGAGTTGAATAACCTAAACCAGTGGCATCAATATGACTCGTTAACTTAATTTGTATGAACTTAATTTAACTGTGAGCTACCAGTTGTAGTAATTTATTTAAGTTGGTCCAATAATTCTCAACTTTTAGTGCGTTATACTGCTTATACTGCAGTCTAAAAACAAATGTCCGGGCTTCACAAAGAATAATTAAAACAGTTTGCATCATTTATTTTAATTATGAAATCTTCTAATGAAATTATGTTCAACCAACGAACGACACCGAGTTCAGGGAATTCGCTTTTTCACTCCAATCAAATGTATTTTAATTTACTTAAACATTAGTGGCATAAACATCAAATGTTCATTAGTTCCAACTCGTTTGTGCTGATGATCTAAAAGGAGTTTTTAAGTGTCGCCTATTTAATCACCACAGTTATCAACACACATTTTAAAGCTGAAAACCGTTTAAAAAATGAAGTTGTTCCAGTTAGATTTTAGCTCCTGAGATGAAACTGCTTTCATCAGGTTTGACCAGAAAGATGAAAGCTTCATATCATCACTGAAAATATCTCCAGATGGTATCATGTGTGTTTTCAATCTGCAGCTTCTCCAGAAGACAATCTGAAAGGCAAAGTTAAATTATCAAGCCAATTTCATTAATAGTTTAAAATGAATAGAAATGTAAAAAAAATTGAGTTTAAATTGCACACGATATTAGGTTGAGTCAACACAGCTCATCAAAATAGGGTTTGTTATTCAAAAGGAACAAAAACCCTTAAATATTTTAGTGCATGTTGTATTTTTGGGAGGTCGATTGTAAACGGCAGCACGGACATGAACAACAACCTCCGATGAAAATCCACACAACGATATGAACGCAGATCTTTTTTGTTGCGACACTAACAGACATATAAAGCGGCGGCAGCAACAGCCGACTGCATCCCAGCCGCTTCCAGATGCATTCAAACAGCCTCTGCTTGGAGCTCCATCACCGCCGCATCAGTCAAACGCCTGAAGTCGTCCAGCTTCTGTCTAACTACGAATCTGTTCAGCTAACCCTCGGAGGCAGCTTGCCAACAGCCCAATAGCTCTTTCTGTCCTCAGCCTTTAACGTATCACCGATCCTCCGAGCATCAGAACCAATTAGATAAGCTGCACTGTAGGCCTCAAAACAAATAATCACATAATCCTGCCAGAGCTGTGCTTAATGGCGCAATTAGGACGAGGCGAAACTGAGACGGAGAGTGATTTTATCAACCCATCTTCTCCTTTATCAGGTGGGAACACGGAGGACTCGTCTCATTTTAAGGACGTGAGAACCAAGAGATGAACGTATATATCATTTCCCAACATGCTGAAAAAGCCTCTCTGCTGCTGCTACTGCGGTTGCTGCTGGAGCCCATTTTCGTTTGGCGAATGATAGATTTCTGGTTTTACGGCCCCTCTGAGAGCAAAGGGTCTAAATAACTTGTGTGGGGAAGATATTGAAGAGAAAAAACAAGGATGCTGTATTGCATAAAGCTGATAAGATGGCAGCCGAGCTATTCAACTGTCTGCACGGTTGATGCTCATTTAGAGTCGTTCACTGTCTTCTGCTGCCAATACGTGAATGATGACCAGAGACCCTCTAGTTGATGATGATGGTATCAGCTATACAAAGAACCTGCATCTCCTTAATTTAAACACCTCCACGTGTCAAAACTTCTCACACAGTTTGATTTGCTGAAGTCTCTGAGGAGCATGAAGACAAACCGACCAGCATAAGAGCTGCTCTGACGAAACGTCCCGAATAAAATATGCAACGATCTGATTCGTCAAAGTCACGAAGCAGAAAGTGACAAAACATTATAATAAAACAAAAGTATGTGGTGAAAGAATACTGCAAGTGAATCATCAAACATGAATCTTTTCTCTGAGGCAGGCGTGACTATAGCTCTGCTCACTACAGCAAACTGGACCGGGCCAGCTGGTACCAGTGTTCTGCTTTGATTTACTAAGTATGACGCTTCACCACCTTCAACTGTTTTCATTCTGCAGCTCACGTCATCACTAAAAGCTTCAAATAAACCCACCGCTGCAGGCAGCTACACTCCAAAAATTGTATGTTTTTTTTAACAGTTTATCGTTAGTTTATAGATTTACCTGCTTTGTTAAATTACAGATCATATCGAGTACAGACACAGAAATAAAGGATTAATTTAAATGTTGACTGGAAGAAAAATTGTAAATGTCCACCGTGCTTCACGTCATGATGACCAGTGGCGGCTGGTCCATACAGGGCGCAGGGATGCTGCCCCACTACTAATGACCAGATAAGAAGTTGTTCTCAAACACAATATTAAATTTGAATTAATTACAACAAAATAACAATAAAATGAATAACGTTCATATTCTTTTGCCATATTAACAATATTTGTATTATTAACAGATTCAAAGTTAGCCTTCACTGCGTGTTTACTAATTCTACACTTCCTGGATGGGGCGTGGCCACATGAGTGTGTATGGAGCTCGAAAAACTTTTCCTGATCATGTGACCTTGGCCCGGGCTCTGATTGGCAGCTGCAGACATTCTCACGGGGCGCGGCTCGGTGCGTCCTGGACCCACCCACTTTTGCTGTAAGCCAATTAATTTTGTCTTTATGTGCTTTTGTCTTCTGTGGTTGGATATCAAAACTGTGCTTTGACGTTCATACGAAGGTGCTTTAAATACATATCAGACATCGTCACACGGCTTTTCCTGTCGATCTTCTACTAAAAGCCAGTTACTGTCATGATGACTAAATGCATTGGCCGTGCTGTCAGTGGACAAAAAGCTACTCACAGAGATGAGTGACTTCAACCAAAACGTAACAGAAGTTTGCTGAGCAGAAAGACACAAGAGCCACGTTTACCTCCAAACTGTATTTGTGACCTTCTTTTTGAGACTGTGTGTGAATTATTGAGCATGATGGTCATGAAGCTGTAACCGGCACAGGAAGCTGCTGTCTGGACCACAGAGGTGGAAAGTAGAACTTTTACGATGTACTTCAGTATTTACACCTAAAAATGAGGTCTTCTCATGAAAAACAGAGCACAGCTGAATTGTGCTCATAGAAAAGACGGCGTGTAGAATACATGTAACTCGGTTTAACCAAATCTGACATCAGAACGCCCGAGTTTATTATTTTTAAAGTCATTTTTGGTCTGAGCACCACAGCCGCCAGGAAGCATCTACCACAGCCTGCTATGTGGGGCGTTCAGGGAGCATCAGGAAATCATAGCGTCTATAGATAAGAAAATGTTCAGAAAGTCAGATGTTTTGCCTTTGACCAGATGGGAGGTGCAACTAAATGAGAAAGTGGGTCGTACCGGTGCTACCAGTGAAAGAGTTAATCTGCAGCCCTGAATAGTGTTTTTATTATTTATGATTTATGTGTTTAGAGTTTGTACAGATCCTATAAATACTGATGAAAGTTTAATGAATGGTTTTGACATTTACTTCTGGTCAGTCTTAATATTGTTAAACTAGATTATGATTAAAATATAACATTCCTGTAATTAGCTGTGCCTGATGTTACTCATATTCTAATTCCTGATTTTAAATAAAAGGTCATTTGCAGACTGCGTCTCTCTGAGACTCATTCACTGCACTCTGATGATCCGGTTCACTCACCGGCTGCACCTCTGTTGAATTAGTTGAGTCACTTTAAAGGGGGTGAATATTTACATTTCATATTTTTAATTAACTGACTTTACTTTAGAGAAATCCATTTTCACTTTGAAAGGAAAGAGTCTTTCCAAACAGCCAGCATATGTGAACCACGAGTCGATGTTGGAGAGCAGGAGGCTCTGAGGGGGCTGACGGCTCTGCCAACTATTGTATGAGTTCATTCATACATAATAGATGAAGCGCTAACCACCCAGTGTCTCAGCGTTTTTCTCACTAACTACTAGAACAGGTTATACGTTCAGATAAGTGCCTCTGCAAGAATATCTTTAAGCAGAATTGCTCCAAGAAGCTCCCTGACGGTGGCTCCATCTCTCTGATAACTCCACTAGAACACATAAAACGATGGGGAACCGGTGAAATCGACTGGAACAGTGAAAGTAACTGCAGCTGGACAGGTTT